CGCAGAAGAAACAACTCTCTGAAGACTGTGTGGGAAGCAGTTTGCTGAAGGAGCAAGAGATGGGTGGAGCAGCTGGAATGCTGTGAGCCAGGCAGAATGGAGAAGGTGCCGCTGCAAAGGTGGGCAGATGCCAGTGCCCCAGGCTCTGTGGGCCATATTAAGGAACGTGGGCTTTGCCCTAAGAGAAAAGGAGAAATCACTGAAGGGTTTTAGGAGAAAACTGGCAAGATCAGATTTGCATGTTTAAAAGCTCCTATAGCTTTTCTGGCTGCTATTGGAGGATATTGGAGAAGGATAGGGCAATAAGAACAATTTTACTGCCGAGGTCGTGGTTGGAGAGGGTGGCAGGGGAGTACAGTGGGTGGGAGGGAAACTTTGAGTTGTTATATGTCTACTATGGTTCCCTTGTTGTGAGGTGAATCTGAGCTTACTAAGGTATTCAAATCCATGGATTTTTTTAAGTCCATGCATTAAAGATGGCATCTACAAATGAAAAATATTATTGTTTAAAATTACAGGTTGTTTTTGATACAATCATTTCGGCAAAATTATTTAAAAGTGTATATTTGTTTATTCTGTCATTGGCCCAAGGCATGGAGTTGTCCCCCCAACATAATGAAAATTTTACTTAAGGATCCTAAAATTAATCTCAAAATAATCACCTTTGTTGAAACGCATTTAAACAGAATTTCAGGGCCAGCTCCGTGGCTTAGCGGTTAAGTGCGCACGCTCTGATGCTGGCGGCCCGGGTTCGGATCCCAGGCACACCCCAAGGCACCACTTCTCCGTCCAACCCGAGGCCGAGTCCCACGTACAGCAACTAGAAGGATGTGCAACTATGACATACAACTATCTACTGGGGCTTTGGGGGTAAAAAAAGGAGGAGGATTGGCAATAGATGTTAGCTCAGAGCCGGACTCCCTCAGCAAAAAGAGGAGGATTAACATGGATATTAGCTCAGGGCTGATCTTCCTCACGAAAAAAAAAAAAAAAAAACCTAATATAGCAGGGAGAGGCATAGAGGAAGACAGTGAATTAGAGAAAGAAAGTAGATGACACCTAATCAGGGGAAAGAAAAATTGCCAAGAGAGCTGGATGACCTGGAAATCATGGCTGGAAAGAGATTCCCTAACTGCAGGGAGATGTGTGAGTTCATTCTAATGAGGACTGGGGAAAAGCCCTTACACTGCAGCTCCAGAGTCAGGCAGTGTCCACTGGGGGATTGGGGGGTGGAGTGTCAAGGTGTGTATAGGAGCTGAGGAAGACGAGGGACTCGTTTATAATACAGGCAGATCTGATGTACAAATTAACTTATTTATATCCAGAAGATAACATACCTGCAAAGTTTTTATCTCAATGCTTAAAGGAAATGCTCTGGCCTTCTCATAGCTACATTCACACAAGATGTTAAAAGAATGCCTATCTGAGACAGTAAAAAGATCAATGGTTGCCAGGGGTTAGGGAGAAGGGAGGGATGAATAGGAGTTGCACAGAGGATTTTTAGGACAGTGAAACTATACTCTATGATACAATGGCGGATGCATGTCATTATACCTCTGTCAAAACCCACAGAATGTACAACACCAAGAGTAGACCCTAATGTAAACTATGGACGTGGGGTGATGATGAAGTGTCAATGCAGACTCATCAACTGAACCTTTGAACTCTAAACATCATGATTTTTTTAAAACATATTAAGGCCATTTTGAAAGCAAACAATTAAGAGTGTCATCCATGGTCTACTCTTAAGTGTGTGTGTGCATGTGTGTGTATATATACATACGTGCAAGGATAGACACACAATCATACATATATGCACACACATACACACACTCAAACATTTATACTTCAGGCTAAGAGCCAGCTCTATCAACGTGCTTAAACCAAATTTAGGCATAATAATCTGTGTATAATAATAATAAAACCATGCAGGTGACTGTGAGACCATTAAAAATAAGGAAACTCACATGTCATTGTAATTGTAATTCCGAATTTTTAGTCTGAGATAAGTGAGAAAGAACAAACTTAAAAAAAAAATTTCGGGCTGGCCCGGTGGTGTAGTGGTTAAGTTCCTTGCGCTCCACTTCAGTGGCCTGGGTTCACAGGTTCAGATCCCAGACACAGACCTATACTTCTCATCAAGCCACGCTGTGGCGGCGTCCCACATACAAAATAGAGGAAGATGGGCACAGATGTTAACTCAGGGCCAATCTTCCTCACAAAAGAAAAAAAAATTCCAAGCCAAATACGCTTGACAATGCACCCACTAAAAGGATTTAATTTAGAAATGAGAAGCTAATAACATGCACTGACGTTTACACAAAATTAGTATGTAAAGCAAGAGATATGAACTGAAGCAATGGTTTGCATTTTAACAGACTAAGCAAAAACGTAATTGGCAAAGAGGTGAATCTTAATGAATTTCAGCTCTTTCACCAGTAAGTGCAGCTGCATGCTAATTGTCAGTGTTATAAATGAGAAAAAAATCTGCTTAAAATGACAATTTTTTTTAAATGCAGTCAATATGGGAACTTACACACTGTACTGAAGTCACCATTCAATTCAATCAGAAATAGGTATTTTTTCCCCAAAAAGTAATTTTTCAACATCAGGATATTCAATCTGCAGTTACTTCCTACTGAATGGGGAGAAAAGTGCTTGGGAGGCAAATGAAAACATTAAAGTGTTTCTGGAAGCAGTATCTGTCATTCCTGGAACTAAGTCAAGGTTAAAAACATCTGATTTCAAGAAGCTAATACAATAAAATTTCTCATTTAAAACCACTAAGAATACCCCCACTCAGTATCTTATTAGTGGCAGTTATGGCACCAGCCTTGCTGGGTGCAAATCCTGACTCTACCATTTCTTGCTGTGTGACTTTGAGCAGATCACTTAACCACACTGTGCCTCACTTTTCTCATCTTACTGTAAGACAATAACAGTACCTACCTCCCAGGATCATTGTGAGAATTAAATGTGTTCATACTTGCAAGACACATGCTCAATAAACTGTGAGCTGTCATGATTATCCTCAGTCGGGACAGCAGTCTCTCAGAGCGGGAATCTTTTGTCTTAAAAAACCGACAAAGAAGAAGGCAGCAAGCATGTCATGACGTTGCTGATCCCTGGATGTAAAATACTGTCATTTCCCACCTCTCACACCCTCTCCTTGGTGGACAGGAATTACGGGACTATCTCTGGCCACCTCTCAGTAAAGATCAATTCTGAGTGGGAAACTGATTGAAGTACCCCTCCCCTCACAGATAGTGCACAGAGTGAGGAGCTAAACTCCAGCCATCTTAGAATATGCTTTGAGATCTTGGCATATCCTCCCTACGATACCATCAGCCCTCAGAGGGATGGCGTGGTGACTGGTCATGTACCTGACTTTGCATTTGATCTTTATCCAGATCTCGTGGAATATCCCACCAAATGTTTTATTTATCCTTATATTTTCCAAGGTCATGAAAAGGACAGGGCACAAAAATCAAAGCTGCTGCAGAAAGGTTTTGTGTTTATTCTTCCCCTTTAATTTACTGGAAGTTCCAACATCTGAATAGAAGGAAAAAGGCCAAGTCTGCAGGCATCTTGGCAGGATGACAAGTCATCGAAAAGAGATGTGAATTCCCACAAAATAAACACACCAAATCCAGGCTCCTCTGCACCCTCTCAAGCCCGGTCATACTGAGACTGGACTGGCATCCTGCCAGGGGATAAAGGGAAGGAAAATGGGAGAAAGACACAAGAAGCCCTCAGCCTTCAATCACATACAAACTCTGGTTCCAAAGGAGCACAAACGGGCTTCCCTGTGTGCGATCAGGGCAGAGCAACCCAAAACCCCACGGAGGGCTGAAAGGGATGCTTCCTGCTACCTGCACAAGAGAGGGAGGATGTTACGTGCAGGGCGTTCCTCCAGGATCCGGCAAGATAACAGGGCCTGGGCAAACACGGCTGGAGCAAAGATGAACTCCAGGTGAAAACAAGCACTTCCAACCCTCCAGACTTCCTTCCATGTTCCTCTCTGCCATGCATTACCCCATCGGGACCTTGAGACCTCAATCTTAGAAAAACCTACTCTCCAAAGAGGATCAGCCATCCTCGTTTATGCCTTAGCATGAATTTCAACCCAGTTATTTCTCTCCAAGTCATTTTACTTTGCTTATGGTCTCTAAGGTGATTAGAGGCTTTATGTCCTGTCAAATGGGGTGGGCACCGAGGCAAGTGCAGCTCAGTGTAGGGGACCACTCTGCTTGCACAGGACACCAGGCCTCATCTGTGGACCCAAATAGTCCTACATCCACACAAAATGTCTAAAACAGATCACTACTGTTAACCTAAATTGGACTTAAAAAAAAGAAACTGAACAGATTGGTTCCTTTACATCCTCAAATACCATAGAAAGACAACAATCCTTTAAACTTACAAGGAAGCATCAGATTGGAAAGAATTGCCAGAAAACCTAATTTTCGGTCTAGTATCACCACTAATTACCATGTAACCACAGACATGTCACTTGAATTTTCTGGGCCTCAGTCTCCAGTGAAAAAATTAATGGGTTTGATAACTATCAAAGGTTCCTTTCAACTCTAAAATCTCATGATCCATTAGTTATTTTCAGTTCAAGTACTTTCAGAAATTGTGAAAGCAAAAGTTCAACTTGCATCTAGAAATGAATATGAACTATGTGATTAAAGATATGAAAATGGACTTTTAAAATTAATGTAGCATGAGTGTGAGAAAAAAATAGAGAATGCTGTAGAATTAAGAACCTTCTTCCCTCAGCCCATTATTCTAAGCTATATGACCTAATACCATTAGTGTTTTTTTTTTATTTTTATACTACAACACAGCAAAGTGAACTCTTAAACGTGTGAAAACAATCGGGATCACAGCCATAAGGCTGAACTCTCTTAGAGATCACGTGGGAGATGGCTAGAACAACGTGGAAATGTGAGAAGGTATTCTTTAGGGTCACTTGGGAGTTATCGCATAGTGCTCACCTTCCACCAGTTGGTCCAGGCTGGAAATCTTCTTGAGCCCATCAATGGTGTAGATTGTTCTCACTCCCTGGGGCAAATTCACGTTATCGGACAGAGTTCGGGTCAAATCAGCCAGCAGGGCCTCAAAAGATCGGAACCGGTCTGGGGAGATGGCATACACAATCCCTTTGAAGTATCGATCTCCGTTTCGATAGAAACGAACTTTCTTGGCCTTCTTCTCGGAGCTGAGGGTCTGCAGAGTGCGGGTTCGGTAAAAGCTGCAGTGGGCGCTGTGCGTTGGGCTGGGCAGCCCATTCACCCGCGACCCTCTGCTGTATCTCTGCGCCTTATCCCGCTCATCAAAGTGCTCCAGCTCCATGTCTCTGCCGAAGGACATGAGGGAGTTAAAGTTGAACCTATGAGGCATAGAAACAAAAACAGAGACACATACTGATGTTATTTTAAGATCATGATTTGAAAGGCTCAGCTTGAGAGCAGCTGGTGGAAATATTGCTATAATTGACGATATATTTAATATGAGTTTTCAAGTTGGGAGAGAAGGAAGACAACACAGTTAACAGAAGTGGCAGCCCCCAGTGGAAACAGGTTACTAATCAACCCCAGTTCTGTTAGAAACAGCTCCTATGTATTGACCACCTATAAGTATCAGGCTTTGAACAGCTAATATTTCCAACAGTCATAACAAACCTTTCAAAGTATTATTATCCCTATTTACAGATGAAGAAACTGAGGCACAGAAAAATTTCTCCTAAGTTTCTTCAAGTAAGACAGCTGAGAAATGTTTGAACCAAGAACTCTGACCCATGTTTGCCTGACTTCAAAGCCCAGGGTTCCGAGTAGGGCAGCGTGCTAATCCTGGAGGCAGGCAGGAAATATGCTTTCATATCACTATAGGCTAAAGATACAGAGAGATGGTGGGCTAGGAAGCAAAAGAGGGCGGGCAGCATTTAACAGTCAGATTGTAAACGTTTTACTTAACAAACAAAACTCCTCCCCATGTGCTCCCCAAGGCCAGATGGAGAGCAAACTGAATCAGTTTATAGGTTCAACCAACTTAAGGACGATTTTCCAACATATTCACATATCCAATAAAATTTTTTTAAGTGAATTCACCATAACTCATTTACTTACATTTACTGCTTCAGATAAGTTGGGTTAAAAAAAAAGAAGAAGAAAAAGGAAGGGGAGACGTGGAGAAACAACAAAAACAAGGGATAAGAATTACTTCTTTGGAGGGCTCTGCCTTCACTTCCACTGAGGCTCTATCTTCGTGCTTGAGGAAATCGAGGCTTAAAAATGTTGATCAAGTAGATTTCTCAAGGTTACACAGCTGGTACAGGGTCAAGTCCGGATCAACATCTTTAAGCCTCAAGTTCCTCAATCACACAGGGGAACGCTATTAGTACCGTAATGTTAAGTATTAATACATGAAGCACACATGAAGCACTTAAGATAGTGTCTAGCATGTGATAAGTATTAATATTTTTTATTAATAAAATCTGCTTTTCTGTTCCTGACTCTGTCACAGAAAGAACTAGTAGGAATAGAATCTTCCCCTTCTGGTAAGAGAGGCTCCTGGTGAGTCCTCCTGACTTCCATGTCACGACATTCTGAAAGATATGCCTGCAGCCCCATGGCCCCATTTTACTTTCTGTGGAGTCTTGTTATCAGCCAGGTGCCTGTGGGATCAATTTATCCTTGCTAGGAGGTTAGCCGATAAAGGCTTGTGGTGTTGCCCCTTGCAGGGGGCTCCATGTTTTAACAGGACAATCTAGAAAGAGGAAAAAAACTCAGCATTCAAAGGAAAGAAGTTTTAATGATAAAATTTCAGGCATGTTGAAATAGAATATAAGGGAAATGGAAAATCTGGGGCAAGAACCTTATGAGTGCTTCCCAAATCCCACCACTTAGATGATGTCACCTTTCCAAAGGTCAATCCAAACTAACCAAAAGTCCTGCTAAGCCTCCCTGACCTTTCCTTGACCTTCAGTAAACTGACCTCCAATCCATTCAGAGTGGCTAAAAATTCATGCTCAAACGCATTCCTAGAAATTGTGTACTCTTGAAATGAATGAAGTGGAAAAAGCTAATACTTATTGATTGTCTACAATGTGCCTGACACTATTATTCAGCAATCAATTGTGTAATATGCTAAAAATGCTCTTCTAAACCTCATGGCAATCCAATGAGATAGGTAATATCACTGTGACTGAGGGTGAGTAGGGATATAGCCAAGGTCTCAAAGTCATCATTGAGGGAGTTGGGATTTGAACCCAGATTTACTCTGACTCCTTTCTTTCTGCCCCATGTGCTATGTCCTAGAGGCCTAGACTCCCTGAGATTGGCCCCTCTTTGCATGTAAAGCAGGGATTTTTAAAGCCCTCACTCCTAACTAGCTCTGTGACCCTGGGCAGACCACATAACTGCTGAAGACCTTGTCTGCAGACAGAGGAGGCAGTGGTCACCAGGCCTCTAATGTCTTCACCTGCTCATGATTCTACTGCTGACCCCAGTTGGGGGGGGCAGGGGGGCAACACAGTGTGATTTAAATCAGGACTGATTTTTAGTTCAGTGTATTTTTTTTCCTCAAAATATGAAAACTACCTCATGCCTCTTAATAACTCAAAATAGTCTAAATTTGCATTCTCCAGAAAAAGTCATACCATATATACGTAGGCATGAACTGGTTTCACTGATTTTGAAGTTAGATAATTTCAAAACAATCATCAGTTTATATGCAATCTTCCAGGCAGCTATTAATTGAACAACAGAACCAACATTCTGCCCATGATACCATAACTGCTCCTATTTTTTTTATTTATTTGTTTTTAAAAGGCGATCTTTTGTCTTCTGAAAGGGGTGTGTGTTAGGAGGCGGCATGATACTGCCAGTACTCCGGCCAACTCACTAAGATCTTCAAACTTCATAAATTACAAAGGCCAGATTGACTTTTGAAGGTTTTGTTTTATTTTTACAGGCAGTGATCATTCTTCTAGCCCTAGGGGTTTCCTCCCAAATCCATATAAACCAAAGGAAAACAAGCTGGACTGTAGCAAAGGATGGCACAATTGTGTCACCAGCGAGTTCAACTCTAGTTCAAAGGGGCTCTTGTCAATTCACAATTTGCAAAGGCCAAATAATTTAGCAAGTGTTGAAATTCCCTAGAGGAAACAGGCTTTTAGAAACAAAAATTCCAGAGCAAATGAAAAAAAAGATCAACTTAAAATAGAGAAAAGTTGATTTTGTTTTATTTTACTTGCATATTTCCTCAAAGCAGATCATATGTTCAACCAGGGAAAGAATCACATCTTTTACTTCCCTTCACTGAGCCTGCCCAAAAGTAGACAGTGATGTTGGTGACAAAGAAAAACCACACTCAAAATGAAATCATTTTCAAGGCTTACAGCTACCACTAAATAAATGTCAAAAACCACACTACACACCCTAGTGTTCTAGTAATGATGTGTGGCATCGAAATAGGGATTCTTTCCCTTGCCTTGGCTGACTCAGCTTTTCAGTTGGCTTAGTCATATATTTGAACCAAGAGCTCCTGAAGAAGATTCACTGGGCTTCCACAGGGTCCCACTTTCTGCACAGGAAGCCCACTAAAGCACACAGGCACACTTTACAGACTATAAGTGGCTAAGGGCCTGGGCACACATGTGTTGTGGTGCTAAGAAGGTAACTACACCGCTTTAGCCACAGAGATCAGGAGCACCTGAGTGGGGAAGATGAGGGCTTGGCTCTTATCCTAGATTTTCCTATAAACACTGCCATGCTAAGAAATCAGCATCCTCAGTTGTTCTCTGCGAGATTTCTCACTATTTTGAGGAACCTCTGTGTTCATCCTTCTCTAGATGAGCACCTAAATTCCTGTTTCAGAGATTTACACACACACACACACCAAGCACTACCACATCTAAATAGATGCTGAACCTGGGAATCCCAAGGCATATTTTGCCAGTGGGGTTAGGATGCAGGTGGATGGACAGGCGTGGAATAAGAGGCACACACACCTTCAGAGTGCATGCACCACGCTGGACATAGATGTCACAGGATGTGTATCTTGTATACATGTAACCTACATATAACCTCTCTTAAAATCCCTTCTGACTGGCATTCCTGTGGCATTTCAGACTTAAAACGCTGCCCTAACTTTCCTTTCCCCTCGCAAGGCGATATATTTAGGAACATTCATAAAACGCATTCATGGAACACCCTGCAGTGTGGCCCCTGCACGCGTGTGCACCATAATCTGGACACACATTCACAGGTATGGAGAGTGGGAGCCAGTTTGAATGGAACCTTTCATCTGCTCCATCTCCGACAAGGATTTCCTTGCCAAATCCAGCAGCGATTCCGCGCAAACCTGGTTTTCAAAAGCAGCCTCTTTTGTGGGGCAGTGCAGGGCTGTGCGTGCACTGCCACTAGGAGGAAAATGCCATTCCCTCTCCGCATGCTTTTAGCACTGCAGGTACTAATTTGTACATGAGGCAGCCTCGCTGTCCCCGAAGGAACTTGAGACCCTGCAAATGTACTTGCAACACCCACACTGCAGCCACCCGCCACGCACAGATCGCCCCGTCCTCAAGCCCACACCACCCTCCCGGGCACACGGAAAAGCACACACACAATAAGAGGCCTGGCTCGGCCACTCCTTCCAGGCGCAGACTTGGTCCTCGCTCCGTGGCCAGTTCTGACAATGACACACACCTCTCCCAGCTCCTCCGCCCTGACTCTCCATCTCCACTAACAACGCGGAGAAATGCCTGGGGGCTCCACTCGCCCCACTCCGCGTTTTAAGCCGGGTGGCACCAGACAAAAGAGGCAGGTGCCAGCAGCCCCGGAGCCGCCCTCACACACCGCCCCTGGCTGGGGCCAGGCTGGCCAGGGCAGGGCAGCGCCTTTCGAGGAACGGCGGGCGGGGCGGCGGCGGCCGAGGCGGGGG